ACGCGGCCTAGAAACATTTGTGTAACTTCACATTTGATTCTCAAATGAGAATGAGAGTCATCTGGCCATTTTTGCTGGAAGAAATCTTTTCAAGGCATTGGATATCTTGAAACCAAGGATGGTCAAGCTGGCGCCTGGCCCAGTTTCGCCCAGTTTTTTTCATTTCAAGCCCACTCGTACCGGGTCAATACTTTTTTTTTGGAGGGATCCTAGGTTCTTCCAAACATCGGACAAGTGTCATTTCGGATGGTATATTTATTATATATTTTAAATTTCGTTTATGTTTTATTTTTTTTATTATTCATCGTTCTCATGATTCTCATAGTAAAAATTTTAAATTAGTTTCTTGGTTCATATAAAAAGCGTGACATCTAGTTTTCGTTCATACAATTTCATAGCTTTTATCATATAATTAAGGGAGTCCTTTCTAACAAAACTAAAATAGAAGGAGAGAGAAATAGTCACAATTGAACGCTGAAAAAAAAAATGCAAAATGTTGGGTTGATGGTAGGATTGAAAGAGAGTAATAATGGACTAGTTGGAAGTCCTATAATTAAGACTGTGTAAAAGTTAAATTGTTTTGTCTAACTCAAATAAGTTTAGTTTGGCTCCGTCCAATAAAAAAATTAGCTCAAGAAATTAAAGAAACAAAAAAGATTAAACTAACTTTTTGAATTGAATAGGGTAGGAGACCAAGCTTTTAAAACACTTGATTCAGTCCTATTCTATAAAATATATTTTTAATTTTTTGATATATTTGAATAGTTTGAAGTTTGAATTCAACATTCTCTTCATTCACATTTCACCCTTCTATTTAATATAATATTGATTTAGTTTTTTATTAAATTATTGTTGTAATGTATATTGAACATATTGTTTAAGTTTGTTAAATGTTATTGTTATTATTGTTAAAATTATGAATTTAAATTATTTAGATTACAACTGAAATATTTTTTATTGTTGTTTTTAGAGATTGTTATAAATTTGTTATCATTATAAATATTTTTATTATTTTAATTGAGTTTATCAAGATAAAATAAAATGTACAGTCCGATGACAAAGGGTATGATAATAGATGAAAATCATGACAAATGGAGCTTATTTAGCGGCAGTGTTGATTGGGTTAGAAACAAAGTGAAAGAAGCAAGGCCCAGAAGGTGTTAATATGGGGGATGGGCCTAGTTTTGCAAAAGGAAAGTGAAAATGCCAAGATGGGGCTGAGAATCTGTCGTCCGTAAAACAAGGCTGAAACGTGTGGACAACACTCTCTCACGGGTTGCTTTCCCCTCTCTCCCCTCTCTTGCTTCCATCAATTGCCTCTCCCACTCTTCTCGTCACTTTTTCAGTCTCTCATTTGATAGGCAATCCAATTACCAGACTCTCCGCGGCTTTTCCTTCCCATTCCCCTACTTGCTCGTGCCAGATGTCAATTCTCATATGCTCCCTCCTCCAAAATATATGCTGCTTTGTTCCTAGCTAATCCTTTCTAAAATATTAATTTGTAGAAATTGTTTTTTCATTTTACCCATTATATATTTATCAACCTTTAATCTTGTATTTGTGAATTAATGACTTTTTTCTTGTTTGTTATAAATTAAGATTAAAGATTAAAAGAAAAAATAATACATATAGGATTTTATTGATATAGAGATTATTATTAAAAATTGCTTATATTTCAGACTGGAGGAGGAGTACACGTGCGAGAACTCAAATGAGTTGCTAGTAATATTGATCATTAATCCTCTTTTTATGTTTCCATGATATTTGGATAAAGCCAATGACTTTTGATTGACGGTAAGATTTGATACACTCACTTAAATCAGGGTATATAATTTATATATTTCTATTGGTTGTTTCAACATTTAGTTTATTCATAGTTGTAATTTGTCATGTCAATAATGGATCTCACACTCATAGATGGTTTAATTGATTTGCATCACGCTTATAGGATTACATAATAAATTAAAATTAAAAGATAAGACAGTTATCACACAATACACAAGTTGATGGTCTAAGATAGGCCTGTGCAGGGAAGGAGGGAGCACTACAGTTGAAGTGAAAATATGAAATTAGTTAAGGATCGAATATGTGGGTGAGGTTGAGAGAAGAGTAGCCATCAAAGCACACTCAATACAGCGCCACAAAACCTCCCTCTTTTTACCTCATCATCATCATCATCTTCTTCTTCTTCTTCGCCTTCCTACTTTTCTGCATTCCTCACATGCACTCCTTTTCTCTTCCACACCAGACATTACCACATCACTTTCTTCCTCCAACTTGTTCTTTTACTCATTTCATTTGCTGCTTCACGTTTCTTCAATTATTATATGTGTGTGTGTGTGTCCCACCCCTTCACTCCTGCTCATCATCTCTCTTCAACTATATTTAAATTTATGGTCATGGATATTTCAACAAAAGATCATCAAATATATATGAACAAGTTCTCTATATGCATGACTGAGACAGCCAAGGAAATGTTTTAGCGCCGCTACCGTGATTTGAAGAATCAAACCGTACGTTAATTAATGTTGAGAGATGGGCGTAATGAAATGTGAATTCAGGTGAAAGGACCAGATGGGCATATCAAAATTCAAAATTATATATATATATATAATTATAAACGGGGTGGGAAAAGGCAGCGCCTATATGCATCCTCTCTATATGGGTTTTTTTTTATGTTTTTTTAGGCACACTTTTACCACTCCTATCATGACATGGGGATTTTTGGCGCTTCTTCAATTTAGGACCTGGAACTTCGTCCCTCATTGATTTCTTGTTAAGGTCGGGAATAAGAGTTGAGTTTGACGAATTGCCCGTTTAAGTCCGTTTTAATAAGGATTCAGGTTTAACAATTTAGTATTTTTTGTGGTAATCGGGCTTCGAAGCCCGGCCCTTTTAAGCCCTAAAAAAAGAGCTTGGGCTCGAGTGGCCCGTAAAACCCGTTTTACTTTTTTTTTTGATATTGTAGGTGATGATGATGAAGAAGCCCGTGAAGCCTTAAAATTTGGTATTGTAGGTGATGATGATGATGAAGTTGCAGAGATGTTAATATTGAGCCTCTGCCTCCATCTTTCACGAGTAGACCTACATCCAAGGGTTTCAATATTTTATTTGTGGATGATGATGATGGGAATCTTGATTAAGATTGATGATAATGTTTGCCTTTATCTTATTTGAACTTTTAAATTTTTTGTTTATTTTTTAAATTATGTGAGACTTTGGTTGGATGTATGTTGAATTTTAAAATATTCTAAGTAAATTTTAATGTTAAATTTTATTTTATTCTTATTAGGGCTTATGGACCCGGCCCTAAACCCTTTGAATAAGGGCCGGGCTTCATTTTTAAGATAAAATTAAGGTAATCGGGCTTTAGGGCGTAGATCCATAAGAGCTGAGCCCATATGGGCTAGGCCTGCCTGTTTACCAACTCTAATTCTTGTTGCTTGACATTTGTGCTTGTTTCTTCTTTTTTTTTCCTTATTCATTAATTTGTAATAAATTTGCCTTAACAAGACAAAAGAAAAGAGAAATGTATTAATGGGTTTAACCTTTTTTTTTTTAAAACGAACCTTATTATTATAATCTGTTATTTATTATATAACTTTCAAAACAATAATCCAAATCACAACCCAAGAAAAAGTCAAATTTATTTACTATAACTAACAACTTTAATGATTGCATTTTAATTTTTAATTTTTCTAAAGATTAGTACATTTCAATATAAAATATCAAATCTATATAGAGTTATGCCTTATTTGTTATGAAGAAAGATTTTTTGATGGAATGAAAATCGGAGTTAGAATCAAAATCAGAGTTAGAATTAGAATTGAGATATAATTGGATTATAAACATATGTTCAGTATAAAAATAAAATCTTAATATAATTTTATTTAAAAAACATGTTTATATTAACAAAAGTCTAAAATAGCCTTGATGTTTTAAAAAAATCACCATTGTCTACCTATCATCTCCTTCAAACAAAAATAGAACTAGAGGTAGCTGCAGATATGAAATTGAACTACAAACCATGATCATATCCTAACCTATTCAATCAACTAGACCTAGAAATCACAAATACTTGTTTTACAAATCTAAAAGCAAACCACAAAACTATATCACATTCAATCAGCTACTAAATCAATCAAGCAAATCAAGGAATTGGTGGAGAGCATCTCAATGACAAAGAAATTCAAGATCTATTGAATCTATGATGGTGGTGAGTAGCTTGACAAGTCGTTAGAGATCTTTAGTCCTCCTTGGTTGCTTATAGTAGGGGTTGGTCTAGATTTCAGGTGAATCATCATTGTTGATGGAGACTAAAGGTGGAGATCAAAGAAGCTTGTCATCGTTTTTCCATGGCAACCCGCAATTGTAGTGGTGGAGATCAATGGTCGTGGATTTTGATAGTGCTTCCTTCCTTTATCATTGCTAACGACAAAGCAAGGCAGTAAATTGACAACAATGAACCGACGGTGGTTGTGAAGTTCGATGATAATGGATGAAGAGTTGAAAGGTAGAAGAGAGAAAATGCTGAATTTCAGGATATCTAACCTAATTTTGTGGAGACAAAAATGAAATCTAACTTTGCCAAAAGAAGAATTTCTTGAATCAAGATTTTTGAAAATCTTGATTAATGTGTATCAAATATAAGTGCACATGGATTCTTACCTCAACTCCTTTTCCATGTTAATGATTCCACACGGCCCCTTAATGAATTGATTTTTTGCCAATAGCCTAACTATCTAGGTACCGTGATATCACAACATGATTTTACTCGTTTTTATCTTAAATTAGCATCATTTGGCTAAAATTTAAATTATAAATATTTCCATTAAAAAAATTATAGCTATTTGATTCTAAAATGTTTGAATGATAAAAATTAATGTTGGCAAAAAATAAAAAAAAGAATGATAAGAACTAACACATAAAATAAATAATTTAATTTTGATCTTGGTATGATTTATTGGAAAAAGGCATACAAATTTACGTCTTTGCCGTGATGTTGTGTTGGAGCCCGAAGCGAGTGGTCGATAATACTATACGGAGCAGCGAACAGGCCTGCTGCGACCACCAGCGAGATACTCCTTACTTCCCACAATTTCTTCACAGAGTCGAATCCTTTTCTTCTTCTTCCCGCAACTCGCGCCCTTTCTTCTCTTCTTCTATCCGCAATTCATGATAAAATTTGTTAAATTCTTGATTTCCTTTGCATGTTATCTGTAAAAAAAAAAAAGCACTAAAAGTGGAGAAGAACCGATGAGAACCGACACATTGAAGGACAAATGTCGACAGAAGGCAGTTAAAACTTGAAAGAACTCAAAGTTGATAGCAGCGGATGCGATAATGCGAACACTTTGTGATGTTTGTGAGAGCGCTGCAGCGATCATCTTCTGTGCTGCAGACGAGGCTGCTTTATGCCGTGCGTGCGACGAAAAGGTTCTGCTATCGATTTTAGCTTCTTATCATTCTGGCTTCGAGTCTAATTGATTTTTTTTTTCATCGTTCCGCTAGTTTATTGATTTGACGCTTTGTTATACGTGGTCGAATTTCTATGTTCACAGAGAGAGAGAGAGAGAGAGAGAGAGAGAGAGAGAGAGAGAGAGCGATTCCTTAAATGAAATGAAGTTGCCCTAAAATTGTGTTTCAAGGAGAAACTGCAGCACGAAGTTGTGAAATACTCATTTGCACTTCGAACTTTCTGTTGGATCTCGCTGAAATTTTCATTTAAAAAGCAAGATATATGAGGCTATCTGGATTGATTTCATCATTTATTGTCACGTTGCCTGGATTGAAGCCGCTACTCTTTGATTCTCTCATAAATTTTTAACTATTTACTCATTCTTTTCTCGGATCAACGAGTTCCTGTCGGCTTGCATTGACCTTCTTTTTATATGTTGTGAACTGTTCTTGCAATTACTGGCTTTCAATACGTTGGTGATAATTTCCTTTTACCTTAATCCTAAGATTACCAATATAAAATATCCATCTTTTCCCCCCTTCTTTATCCCCCTTATGCATTGGGGCTGTGCTTCTGAACCATTATGCCAAATGCCCCTTGGCCAGTCCGAAGATTCTAAGTTTGGAGATTGATGACACATTTATAGTGTTTGGAGTTGAGGCTCTCTTGAAATGAGTACGAGACTATGTGCTCAGTGATTTTTAAAGTCTGAACCAGCCGTTTGAGCATACTTTCTTCAATTTTCACTGAACTTTATCATGTTAAGCAACAAATCTTGCATGTGAATTTCATATTCTGGGCAGGATGTTGTCGTAGTTACAAGAGGCCCACTTTCTTGTGCTGATTCTGAAGTTCCCTTTGGCACCATAATTCATATCAAATTTAATGAAAGCACTGCATGGTACAGTTTTTCTCTGATGTCATCTTTTGTGATTCACATTCGAGTTTCAGGTCCATACATGCAACAAGCTTGCTAGTAAACATGTGCGGGTTGGGCTGGCTGACCCCACTGATGTTCCCCGCTGTGACATATGTGAAAATGCACCTGGTATGAAAGGCCCTTTTCATTGAAAATAAAAAAAATCCTTTGCAAGATTATTGGCTCTGATGAAATGTGAGAGAGTTCAAATTTTCACCATTGTGATTGAAATTTGCATGTAGCTTTCTTTTACTGTGAGATAGATGGTAGTTCGTTGTGTCTGCAATGTGACATGATAGTACATGTTGGTGGTAAAAGAACCCATGAAAGATATCTTCTATTGAGGCAAAGAGTTGAGGTCTGTGCCACACTATAAGTAAGCTTATGACTTTCTAGCTCATAAGTAGATTTTCTGAAGTTTGTTTAATGTTCTTTGGGCATTTCTCTTTAGTTTCCAGGTGACAGACCTGGTCGATTGGAAGAACTAGGGTTGCAACCCCTTGATCAAAATGAATTAAAGAAGGACCAAAGTCAGCCCCTTAAGCTAATAACAAGAGATGGCCAGCAGAACCATCGGGTTTCACCTGCTCCAATTCTAGAAAATAATGTTGTTGATCATGGAAAGGTGGATAAAAAACTAATTGATCTTAATACTAGACCACAACGGTTAAATGGACCAACATCAAACAATCAGGTGATTATTTTCAATGCTCATATCAATTTTAGTTCTTTAATTTGGTTCTATTTTGTATTTTCCATCCTCTGTATTACTTGGTTTCCTTAGTTTCTGTAACTAGTTTTGATACTTGGAAGTATAATATATTCTGTTTTTGTTTTAGGAACCAGAACAAGAACCGGCTATGGATATTTCAAGTGGCAACAACAATGAATCTGTGGTACCTGTAGAATCCTTCAAATGTTAGGCTGAGAAGAAATAAAGGTTCATCATATATAACATTCCTTTGTTTCTCTGAATTCTTTTACATAGCTTACTTTTTTATTTATGTCAAAATCATTTTTTTACTTTGAATTTCAACTATTTATGCTCGAAGTTAATGCAGAAATATAAGTTAGAGTCAAGTGCATCTAAAAGATTGCAATTTAGTTTTTATCATGTTATCACAGGTCAACGCATATCCAATTGTAACTTCTAACTAGAAATACTTTCAACATTTCGGTTTTGCTTCTTCTAAACTGATTGCAGTTGGAAAATGTCAAATCTTTACGTAAATTTATCAAGACGCTTTTTATATATGCATACACACACACACACACACACACACACACACACATATATATGATTATACTTTGGTGTGGTTTCTTTGGCCAACATTGATGTTGGCAAAATCTACTCACTTCAGTTTCATGTTAGTCTATTGACATAATTGGAAAGTGATAGAAGGCTACAGAATTGGTTGATGTATTGACATTCTTTTGGGGTATGAAGGTCGTGGTATTGTACTAATAACTTGTGAACGATGCACGTGCCACTGCCACTCCAGGTTAAGAATGTGTGATGAATGAGATTTCTTCAAGGAAAATGTAAATACTGTAAAAAGAAAACTGAGGATGATAGGAGAGTAGAATGATTTAAGAAGTGAAGAGTCTAATGAATATTTAACTGAAGAATCTAATGAATATTTAACTGAAGCGAATTGACATTTTCTTTATATTGTTCCACTCTATGCTTGGACCTCCTTCAATTTATTTATTTATTTATTTTATTTTTATGAAAGTATGGTGTTCTTCCCTCTCAATAAACCAAGCAATTGTCTGCTGCTGATATACACTTTTAAGTAGCTTTTAGCTAATATTTAAAGGCAGTACCGGGTGAAGACTAAAATTTTTCTTTTTTTCTGTCACATGCAAATAATTACCCATCACATATGTTTCATTTATTGTATTCACTACTTTCTTCTCATATACGAAATGCAATTTTTCTTTCACTTTGTTTTGTAGGTATTCTTGGACAGCTGATTTTCACATCCTGCGTATTGTCGAGATTAAGAATTCACAACCTTTCATATCCATTTATCTCTGCCATTTATTTAGTTAAATTAAACCCCATGGGAATTTCGCTTGATGAAGAGAAATTTTAGAGGCGTACCAAAACGATCTCTCAAGACCGTAAATGGGTCTGGGCTGTTAAACTCTGGTGAAGTTATTGCTATCTGTCATCTCGTGCATCCAGCATCCATACATGCTATTTAAAAAAAAAGTGCAACTTTTTTGTCTGAATCATTAACGAGACAATAACTAAGGATTGGGATAGGACTATTTAAGATAATTATTTATAAGCAACGATTAATAACAAGTCTCATTTTAGAAAAAAAAAAATATCTTCATTTTAATAATAATTCATTTGTCTGTGAATATTTTTTTTAAATGATCCCTGAATACAATTTTTCCCTCAGGATTTCCCCCAATAAAGCTTAGTTTCCATTTTTGAAAAGAACCATCAACAAAACAAGAAAGGGATCGTAAAATCATCAATGTCTCATATAAAAATGAAACTGTTTAATGCCGTTGTTTTACTATTTAATCACTGTTTCTTTTTCTTTTTTGAATAGTATTCTATTTATAAAAAAACTTTTTGATGATTTTTGAATAATGGTATAATGCACGTGATACTATTTCAGGGTTAATAGAGATGAGAAATAGGCCACTCTAATTGGGCGAAACCTTCTCAATTTCATGGCTAACTGATGCATCTGTTTTGAGAATTTCTTTTCTGGTTCCTGCCTTTGCGTGAAATAATGAACCAATAAATAATCCTGAAAAAATGGGCAGATTTCTTGACATATTTATTTTTGCGAGCCCTTATTAATAGTTATGTTATCATATCATACATTCTACATATTTAATTTTTTTTTTTGGCTTACGAGAAATTTGAAGGTTTCTTCCACTCTAACTCAGGTGGTTAAATACATTATAATTATAATTATGATTAAAAGAAGTGATAGTTGAACAAACTGGCTTAATTCTCTCAAAGCATTAATATATGAATGCGTGCCAATTATTTCCCCGTTGCCAAAAGTCAGTGGACACCGATGGAATGGAGTTGATCTGTAATAGAGTTTAATGAATGTCTAATATGGTTATTGATTAAACAGATAAAACAAACAAAAACGAAGACACGAGAATGGCCTTTGCAAGGTGTTTATCAAGACTTGCTCATAAAATGAGAAGGATAATATTGGTTTAGGACTAAACGAATATTCCGCTTAACCAACAAAAGGTTGATATATACAATGTCATGAGTTTTCTTGATGTTAAAAGTTTCATACCTATCTCATATATATAATCACTCGAACATGCGTCGTGTTTGAGGAGGAATGGCATGAGCTTGATAGGAAATAAAGACAAACTCATTTTAAATTTAAGAAACAATCTTTTAGGAAAAACATTTAGATCCTTTGCATTTACGTTTTGACTTTGGTTTTTAGAAATGCTTGAAGTTTGTGGGCTATCTCATTATCCCTTTGCTCCGTGTCCAGATTCACCAGACTGGGAGTAATTACCCTCAGAATAGAAATAGAAACTGCACAGCATTTCATACCTTCTAATTTTCTGTTTCAAACCCATGCCTTGAATTTGTTTCAGTAATATATCCCAAGGGGATACCTGAAATTCATTATTTTGAATTGTTAAAACCAGAACAATGCATTTTATGGTTTCTTCATGATGAAATTGTCTAACATGGCTTACAAATACAATCTCCCATTATTGACTGCACAGCCTACAATCTTTTAGGTGACTGCAGAGATTCCACATCCATCTTACTGCTTGTTCTCTTTAATTTGTTTTCTGTAGGAGCTTCCTACCTTACTGGCATGTTTTTCTTTTTGGTGATACCTCCTTGTTGTACCTTAGCTGGTTAAATATTTCAAGCCCATGTTGTACCGTTTCTGTGTTTAGAGAGTATTTTAGATGCTTCCAAGTCTGTCTGTTTGGTCTCCATCAGAGCAGATGAGATCTTGAATCTTGGGGGTATCATCACCTTTATTCCTCTCAAGTACATATAAATGATGACGGTACTGAATACGCAAGATGGAGTTTTAAACAGCAGAAATTAAAGCGAGTTTTAGTATTAAGATGATGCATATTCAAGTACTTGATTCCTAACTCATTAACAACAAAGTTTTAAAGGTACATGTAATGATGAACAAAAATATTCTCCAAGATCATTACACACATTCTAAACAAATTAGCCTTTCATCCTCCATCACCATCTTCATCTTCTATTACTTCTGCTGGATTTGATGCTTCAAAAGTATGACTCACACAAATACAAAAGCAGCTTAGTAGACGTATCCCTTGACGAACATTCCCTTCTTGGCCTCCTCAGATTCACCTTCACCAGTGTACTTGCCAAGCTGAGCAAGGGAGTTGGCCTTGGCACGGATAAGAAGAGCCTCTTGTGCTGCCTTCACATTCTCCGGGCGGCCTCCCCATGTCTTCAAGCATGTGTTTTGCAGGGCTCTTGCATATGAGAATGCCACGTGCCATGGGTTTGGAGATTGGTTCATTGCATTCAAGTTCAAGGTTGCCTCAACCTCAGATTGCCCTCCAGACAAAAACTGCATGGGCATCAAACGGCTTTGATAAGCACATGACCAGGAACCAATTTAGAGTACACCTTTTTTTTTGGATCAACTAGAGTACACCTTTTTAATCCATGAAATATGCAAGCTCCGTCAGAAGATAATTATCAGCATTTAAAACCCATAAATATGAGTTTTCAAAAAAAATTTGGAGCCAAATGATGAATTTACTCAAGGCTATTTGGTAATTACCATGATTCCAGGGACAGCAGGGGGAATTCTCCTGTGGAGGAGCTTGAGGGTGTATGCAGCAACTTGCTCAGGAGTGGCCTTCTCCTTGCACTCAGCTCCAGGGGTAACCATGCTAGGCTTGAGCAGAATACCCTCAAACATGACATTGTTCTCAGCAAGGTAGAAGAAAACCTCAGCCCAAACCTTCTGAGCTACTTCAAAAGTCCTTTCAATGCCATGCTCACCATCAAGCAAGATCTCGGGCTCCACAATTGGGACCAAACCATTGTCCTGAACAATTAAATGAATTCTCATTAGGAATGGGAGAACACAAGTATCTGATAAGTACCTTTCGGTAGCCAAAAATAGCATCATCAAGAAAGAAGAGGGTCATTGAATAGCAAGATAGAAATCCCTCAAATTGAAATTCCAAAAAATAGAGAAGAGCAGTAATCATAATGACTTCAAGCAGACCAATTTCTTTGCAAGTCCAAGATAACTACCCCTTTAAAAGAAGAAAAACCATCAGTAAAAACCAAACATGTATGGAGAATCTATTTCCATATAGAAGAATCCCCTTCAATTGTTGGTTGTTTCTTTATAATTTAAATGGTTTCTCACCTGAGAAATGGCAGCATAGCGAGCCAGACCCCAGGCTGCTTCCTTCACTGCCAGAGAAGAGGGACCGTTGGGGATGCTAACAACAGTACGCCTATAAACATTAATTGAATAGCAGCTGTTATGATTTGAAGTGATGTAAAAATGAGCATAGCATTCAACTTTTTTCTGCTAAACATTAGGATTCAGGCTTAGGCTCTCACCATTTGGCGAAACGGGCACCTTGCTGGTAGTAAGCAGCTGAGCGAGAGGCAAGACCATCCAGACCTTGGCACCATGACTCGTCATTGGAACCAGCCAAGGGAACCAAACCCTATTGTTCTCATTGCACAAACAATTTATTAATATATTTATATTGAACGTCCCAAAGATTTTGCATTGAGAGAAGCTACAGAGGCTGTATATGTTTGTACACAAGATTCCAAACAATCAATTATGCTTGCAAACTTTTTTGCGTCCTTTGAGTTTTTCTTCACTCATCAACTAATAATATGCTCAAGTGAAAAAAGAACATGACAATATGTTATTTTCAATACTTAGCATATAACTTCTGTTTATGTGAGGCATGAAATAGCTTCAGATCATTTGCATAGAATGCTCTTATATTAGAGGTTGCCTAACATAAATCGAACTATAATACAATTAAATTAAAACATCTATATCTAATCTAAACACATATCATATTGGTTAAGGTACTGTACAATGTGAAATAGCATGAAGCTACTTGAAGTAATAGAGGAAACGTATATTCATCTATCTCAAAGGCTTAAAATAGTTGATCAAAGAGTGCAGCTTAACGCCTAAGGGCGTGGGCTGTGAAGAATTACCAGATATTCTCAAGCTGAAACATATGCTGTCATGTACCAAAAAAATGTTTCATTTTTAGAGGAAGGGGTAGTTCATTTTTCCAAACGGCATACCTTGTCGACCTTGATACCAGGGACAATGTTTTGCTCAGTAAGAACATCAATTATCTTCTTGCCATCAACAGTGGATTGGTAGAGAGTTTCCTCAAAAAGAATGGCACCAGAGATGTACTGACCAAGCCCGGGAGCTGACACGAGCAAGGTACGGTATGCTTGGCGGTTAGCCTCAGTGTTCTCAAGCCCAATGGAGGCCAAACGCTTCCCACAGGTAGCATTTGATTCATCCATGGCCAAAATACCACGCCCTGGAGAGGCAATTGTTTTCTGTATCCACACAAGCAAACAAAATACAGAAAAAGGAGGGGGGCTGGAATCAGTGAAACATTACATTGACAATGTGAAGTCCATTACTTAATGGGTAAATGAGGATGATTGGAACTAAACCTCAGCCATAAAATACACTGAAAGGAGACAAATTTCAGTGAAACGTAACATCAACCATGTGAAAACCCAGAAAAGGAGAGGAAAGTTTTTCTGATATTCAATATGGGCAATTTTGGAATTCATTGCTGAGTGGGTGAATTAGGATAACTGGAACTGTGTTCCATCAAATAAGCACAGAGAAAGGACAACACGTTCTGTGAAACCTTCCATCGACCATGTAAAATCCATTGCTTAGGGGGTAAACAAAGATAATTAAGTTTCGTCAGAAAACAAAGAGAAAGAAACCCAAAAAAAAAAAAAATCAACGAAGAATTTTGTCAACCATGGGATATCAATTGCGTAGTGGATGCATATGTATAACAGGAACCGAACCTCATCAAGAAAACACAGAGAAGAGGACACAAACATGTGAAGTAAACTTATTAGTCGATATACAACAATAGTTTGATTGAACTTCATCAAGTGAAAAACAACATCGACATGGGAAAATCCATGCTTAGCGGGCATTTAACGATAGTTAAAAAGAATTCAGTAGAGCATTTCATCAACCATGTGATGTGAAGTCCATTGCTTCTCGAGTATACAAGGATGGTTAGAACAGAATTTCAATAAAAGGCTAAAATTTTGGAGAAATTTTTTGCTTGGTGAGTAAATTTCAACAAAACATAACATCTGCAATGTGAAAGGCATAATTGAACCTGAACTTCATCAATATAGTATGTCTAAAATGAATAAAACTGAATTCCAAGAAGTAAACCAAGTAGGTGTTTTATAAAACAACGTACCGCGGTTTTGACAAGCTCATCTTGATAGGCACCGGCTCTGACAGTGACCGGCATGGAGGTGGTGGGGTTGCATCTTACAAGAGACACGGAAGATTGGCGAAGGGATTGTCCCTTAACCCACTCAGACTTGTCAAGAACAGGGGATGACTTGAGCAGAGAAGCAGAGGCCATTGTTCTTCTCTTTTCTCTTCACTGTAATCTTATCTCTACCCCTCCACTGCTATGCGCTTCCTTGCCACATGCACTCGCCACTCTCTTGTATTTATACTTCACAAGTGATGTCTCATTTGAGGCTGCTGTGAGCTAACCTATCCTCCCTTGACATGTGGATGATAATTTTCCTGCTGACTTGGCATTGTGCACCTTGCATACGTGGTTGAAATGGATGGTTTTATCCTCACCTCGTAAAACAGGCCTGAGAAAATTTTCAAAAATTGAGGGAAAAAATGGGATATTTTGCTTCCTTATTGTGTTACTGGTGCAGACAAATGTTTGACATGCACAAGAAAGAGTCCAAATTAGTGTCTTTTATTCGGAAAGTAAGTATGAGGTCATGAAATGCCTAACCCTGTTCTTGTCCGCTCCTCAGTGATTAATGGTTGTGGTTTAATTGCAGGATTTGGTGGAATTGAGCTCTCTCCTTCTCTACGGTTAATAGCATGCCATCTCACGCCCTACTTGCCTCCCCTGCCATGTACTCCTGAGGGCTCTCAAGTGTTTTAAAAAAATTAATCTAATTCAGTGCCTTGTGCCAGGCTTTTATAGTTGTTCCTTCTATGTTGGAAAAATCAATTATATGTATGAGCTGAGTTATAAGAAGACATGTATATCATATTTTATATATGTAGTCTGTTTAAATTAATCCGATTACGTTGAATGAATTGAATGTAACTAAAGATCTTTGATGAATATTAGTGGCCTACACAAACAAGCTCGCTCAACACAGAAATAGAATGAAAGGTCCCCCTCACATGATAAATACAGGACAAGAAGGTGCCAATTTGGACTTACTAGCCCCGAGTTGCAAGCAGCAAGACTAGTTCATGAGCAAGTTTCTACTGAGTGTAATGAATGAAGGACCAGTGGTTAAGTTTCAAGTGGGTAAGTGAGACACCATATCTACCCTTCCATGCACTAGCCTAACCTAACCGCTCAGAACCCTCTGGCTCCTCTGCCTCTATTCAATGGACACTTGATAGATTATGAATATTCTATTTAACTGATGTGGTGTCATTTTACGACTCGGCTCGGGGAATGCAAGATCTGGAAGCGTTAATCTGATGATTCTATGAGCTAATCTCGTTTGAAAACGGCGTGACAACACAACCACACAAAGTACCATCACTCGAAACTTCTAGTTGAACGAATCAGAAGGATTCGGATTGTGCTTTCAGAGAGGTGAACTGTGTGGTCATATTCTTGATGACCCGCCTCTAGAATGTTTACTTTACTTGCATGATGATGATGATGATGCTGGGGAACACCTAAATGGTAACGTAGGCTAAGAGGCTTGTAGGCAACCCGTGTGCTGAACATTGGATCGCATTGAATATGAGTGTGTGTATTACTATATCATAATTAGAATGTATTGATTTGAGCCTGCATTGGATTTCGTTATGCCAAAGTTTTATCTTTAGTTTGTTATTAAAATATTCTTGATTTGAGCATGCATTGAAATTACAAGGGTATGATAATTGTATAGACTTGGGATGCCATAGTTTTATGAATTGATTTTGGGTGTGTGATTGTCCTACGACTTATTGTCAATTAGTCATTTGGCATCTAAATTTGATCCATAGAATGCAAATTCAAGATCCCTCAAAATCCATACAAGAGAAGGAAATTAGTGCAAGGATGGTTTGGTATTTTTTTTTTTTTTGACTAAATTTGCTTGGTTTGGTAGTTTTCAGTTTTGGGTTTGGACGTGTTGTTAAATTAAAGAAGATTGATTTGTTTGTTTTGTCAGGGTTTGAGTTACTTCTAATAAAAAAAAAAGTCCTCCAGTGGCCCATATATGCACTTCCAAATCATAAAGGGAAGCCCAACTTCAGAGCCCTCCCTGCCTCTCATCCTTCAGGTATTGTTTACCTCCCCCAGAGCAACGAGCCTTCGTGTATTTAAAAAAAAAAACATGGATATGGGCCCTTCGTTCTTTTTAGGCTCCATTGTTTTCTCTGACATACGTGACACAGCGAGACGTGGTCCACTTTGTGCATTACATGAACGAGCACAGCTACACTGGTTATCATTTGAATAACGATTTTTGTTATGTCATCTCTGTACTGTACAATTACTCATAACTCATAAGGTAGTTATAACTTTACCTGCTTGGCATGTGAAATTTCCCAAATGCACTAGTGAAAAAAATTTCATCATGAGTAATATTCATTCTACTTTTATGAAAAAATCAGTATGCTTTATGGCATAACTTTTATTTAATGATAGGAAGTTCACCCATATTTATATACTCAAATCGTGTAACTTGTTATAGAGACATGACGGAGCTCGGCTCCTTTGGAAAACTAGAATTATTCACCAAAATGAAGACATGGGGTCAGCCAGAGTGGAGCAACGAAGGCTCCGTTGAATTGAATGAATGCGAGGGAGAAGTCTCTACTTCCTGCCTGAATCACACTGTCATAAATTTGGGTAGGGTACCCTAAACAGTGTTAGAGGCCACCCAAAAGCTCGTGTGAGCAATTACTCCCAACTCAAGAGACAAACACATGCACTCTCGTGTTCTGTTTCTATCGGTTATTTTTAACAAGGGACGGTAGGTATGCTAAACACATGACAGACAATGTGGTTTAGTTTACTACATTATTTAATGCCAAACAATGTGGTTGTTGCTAAACAGACAGACGCAGCTACTCCTCTCATTGTTCTTCATGTCTCGGTGGTTTCCAGTTCAGCTATGACAATAAATAGTCTTCTATCTCCAACCAATTTATGCCTTTCTTCTCTTTTGCTCTTCAATTTCATATTTGATTATTTTGTCCTTTTTTTTTTTTGGTTTAATTTGTTAGCTAGTGTCATGTGCTTGCACTGATTAAGCACCCAAAGGGGGTTGGGATAATAAAATAAACAAGCCGGACAAATTAATATTCCTTTTGTTAGGTTATGTCAGTTGTTTTGGAGGGTGCGCCTCTGCATGTGGAGGCTTTTTGAGACAAAATCCCCGTGGCTGTACAAATTGAGGAAAAAAAACTTAAAAGAAAGCAAAAATTGTAAAGCCGGTCACGGACTGCGCCGACTTTCTTGTTGCTACTATATTTGGTCCAAGATTCGCGTCCCATTGATGCCATCACATCGTTCCACATTTCCATAGCTATCCTTCATTATGATTACATTACTTATTTAAATGTGTAGTTTCATCAGTTGTTTTGATTTAACTGTTATTTCCATGCCAGGCACAAAAAATTGAGTATAAATCGTGAAAAAGTTCATGACATTTACATATCCATGGTTTATATATAGTTGCCCTTTTTATTTATTTATTTTGACAAAGTAAGAATACTTCAGATTTAAAATTCACATCAATGAAGTTTGGAAGTATTCCTAAATGGTAAGCTCTACAATGGGCTAGTCATGAATATTTAATAGAGTGAATAAACATGGGTCTTTGTAATTTATTTACTATAGTATTAAACTGATACATTCATGAGATGGTATTTGTCTTTTTTTTAAATAAAATAATTCTATGGAACGGAAAGGAATATCTAGGAATTTGAGTTGCTGCTTTTCTTTTCGTTCTTGCATAGGTTTTACCATCGGCAATCAATATAACTGTATAAGGTGACTTCAAAAAAAGAAAAAAAAAAGATTATCCAAATTGTAAGATGCTTAGTCAAAACATCAAGTGATATTTTAATTTCATCTCTGAAATTTTAGTAGCTTTCTTATAATTTGAGTAAGGCATTATGAGGTTGCACCAAGTATATAAAGATGAAGTAATAAAGGATATAATTAAAATGATAATCTAACATTTTATCAAAAAAAATGATAATCTAACAACTTTTTTTAATCCAAATAAAAAAATGTATCAAACAATCTATGTAGAAGATGAGGTTATGGAAAGGTGAATCAAACCCCATGAAGTGGAGTTTTCTTTCGAAACTTTTCTGGTCAAGGTTAAAATTACATAACCAGCTGAAACTTTTACAAGCGATGCTTGTGAGACTTCAAATTCAAATATGCAAACAATACATTAATTCAAGAAATCAAACACAATCAAGCCTCTTCCCTCTTGCATTCTTCTCAAGACGAGAGACATCTAATTTTGCCCGGCTATATATATCGTTTTACTTTACAAGAAAATCTTGACCTGTGCAATTATAATATATTAACCGAGGTCAATATTTTAATTAACTAGGGTTGGCGACAAAGTAAGCTAACACCCCAACAAACGGTGCATTTATGTACGTGGTAGGTTCGGACCTTTTAAAATCAGACCGATCATCCACGTAAATATCATCTTCCCCAGGTCCTCCAACAATGGCTCCCACAAGAACATTAGGGTTAGGGTTGGAAGAATTATAAAAAGCAGAACCTTCATTACAGGCAATGAACTGAGGATGGTCCCTAATGGAAGGTAAAGAAGAGCCCCGATGGTGAATACGTTGAGGGTAAGCGTTGCTATATCCAACCATGTAAGATAATCCCATAGGGTTATTTCCCAGAATGTAATCGACTTGTTTTTTGGCTTCAAGGCGAAGGGTTTGAGGGGAAATATTGAGATTTCCACAGTTAAGGGATTGGGAAGTGCGAGAGAGGTAATTGGAGTAGACAAGTTGGAGGAAAGAGATGGAAGTAGAATGTTGTAGATTGCTGCCACCTGGACGGTATATGAGGCCCCCAGGAGTGTATTCGATGTGGGAGCTTGACGTTTCTGGGATTAGTGTGCACAAGAAACTCTCCGCTGAGGCCTTGTAGGATTCTAAAGAGTACATATTTCCTTCTATCACTTCCTAAAAACAAACATTAGTTCTGTTGGTATCAAAAACAGATAATGAATCTAGCCATCACTTCGCTAGTAAAAAAGAAAAAAAATTAATGAGGATATATTTTTTGTATTCTGATCCAAGTACAAATAATTTCAAAAAGATTCATATGAAGATAATATTCCCTCCATTCCTACATATTCGACCCTTTCCCACCTTTACCCTTTGGTACCGGTACGATACAATATTTATTTGCCATTGTCAAATATAACTTCATTCAATTCACGGAAAAGTGGGCGAGAAAACAGAGTATTCACATTATCCCACATCTTTTAATAAAATTAAATGAGGGTATGATTAAAAAAAGAGTACGGGCCGGTTTTTAAAAGATTAAAGCTGTCAACTACTTTCCACCAGCTTCTTTAGTTCACCAGATTCAATTAAAAGAATCCAGGATCCTATAGTTAGGACGGGAGGTATTTTGAAGCGACTGTAACAAGTGTATTAATTAGTGTTTATATTTCTTAAATCTAAGTATGTGTGAGTTGTATTGGCTCATTAATTGCTCTGATTCAAAATTTGTATGTGAAGAATTGATAGCGTGCAAACAATTTGGTCAGAGAATCAATTTTTTGTGTGATTGAAAGGGTGTGGTTTGATATTATTGGAGCACAGGGTAGAGAAGAAAGAAGATCTTGGGTAAGTACCTTGGAGACAAGAACATTAAGGCCAGCATGCTTGTTGTCCCAACCAAACTCATTGATGTTGTCATCGGCACCGAGTGTTTTCCCATTACTTTGTATGTAATTCAGAAAACTATCCTCCTGTGTGGCCCTCCTTAGCCATGCCGCTCCCCATAACAACTCATCCTTTTCATGTTTTAAATCAATAATCAGTAATCGATAATCAAGTAAAATTTATGTGTATGCCATATGAATTGACCCATCAATTCTAAGTTCATTTTTCCAACTATATATATATATATATATATATAGAAGTTGCCGGATTTAATTGTTTGCAAACACTAGGAACCTGTCTCTTCTTTTTAATCAATTTGAAGGTGATTGATCAATCATATGTCTATTTGGTAGTATCCCAAGATTCTTAGGATCTACATGCTCCATCTAATTTTTATTGTAAGACACTTTCAATTATTTTACATATTTTAATAAAATTTAGTTTTTTTTTCTTGATATTATAAAAAAATGATATAAAGTTTTATTTTTACCTTTAACTTTAAATCATAATACAATTATATTAAATACCTTTATATTAATCAATAAAAGATAAAATTAAAAAAAGTAATTTAATTATTGCAAGATATCCTACATTTTAAACCAAAAATAATTTTCAAAGATGTCCTACGACAGGATCAGAGGGAGCATGTCTCAATCTATTGCTTAAGTCACATATAATAGGACGAATCAATAAACTGATCGGTGCAATGCATGAATTAGAATATAGTAATCCAAATCATGGGTTGAATTTCTAAATATTCCATCTCATCCCCGGGTTTTATCATCGCCCAACATATATATGTATGTGCATGATCACAACCACAAATGTCAACTATTTAAAAAGGCATCTTGCAGGTTCAAATAAAAACCAAATTCCTATTTGTGTGGTTTATTCACATGTAAGTCATATTGGCACTTGTGAATTCAAATAATATTCAATTTTGTTTGCGGTATAAAAATAGTTTCTTTAGCTTTTGTTTGATTTTTTTTTTTTATCATAGTCTTAAGTGTACCTTCTCTTATATGGGTCTAGTATGTTTAATTTTCGATTTTAAATTACTTTTGCAAATAATTAAACAGAGATCAATGAAAGAAATCTCTTTTCAAGCTAAATCATGCATGTGTGGGTGCAATGACATCTTTTTTTTGCTCCCTTGACCTAAAGCGTTAATTATCCTCAAGACTACAATTTTCTGGTGCACGAAAGGGGAAAGCAATTAATAATTGAGAGAGTCAAAGTCAGACTACCTGATAGCCATCGAAGTCACAATAATAAGGGCAGGCACCACCCTTAATATTAGCATTGTCACTGTAGGCACCTCTGTAGTTATCTGCAAATTGGAAGGCAATCGCCGCATTTCTGAGCAAGGTTTCAGAATATCCTGGGTCCGATGACCGGAACGCTATGGAGGAAGCCGCCAGTGCCGCCGCAGTTTCGCCAGCTACATCAGAGGCAGGGTTTGGTGCATCAACGGCAAAAACAGTTCTGGCAGTGTCCATGTCTTCAGGTCTCTCCCAACAACTGTGATCACTGCTTGGATCACCCACCTATTTTTCATCAATAACAAGAACCCATTATTAATCATTGATTCAAGGAGAGTGATCGGACCACCAACCACGGCGCTTAAGTGAGGAATCACTTTCAATTCAATAGTTCGATTATTTATTTATTCTACTAAGACTAGAATAGAAATTTTCAAATCAATGTACTTATCTAACAAGAAATTGATATTGAATCATATCGTTCACAAATTACAAATAGGACGAATTTAAAAAAAATCAAGAAAAGAAGTTGGTAATGATGCTAATAAATTAAATAACCCAACTAATTAAACGAACAAGTTGATTATTGGGATTCTGTTAGGTGCATCTTTTGGCAAGGACGATAGTCACGATATGATACCTAAAAGTGCGAAGTTCACGAACTTCGAGGACAAAGCGGGTATAATGATCATTGATGAATAAATTGGGGACAAAAGCATGAATTTGGCATGGGCCATCTTCTCAAACTAAGAGCTGCTTTTATTCGACTAGTTGATCGGGGAGCAAAAGAGTTTGCGTAGTTGATAAGAAACGAATAATAATTTTTATCAATGTAATAAAAAAAAGTATATTTCGGGAATAATAATCTGGATAATGTGATAGACATGAATTAGTATTTTGTAAAATCATCTAATAATAGAATTCACTTGCATAAAATTTTTAAAAAAATGCTAATGAAAAATCAGTAAGGTTAAATTTATAATAAACCATCGAAACTATCGGATTTGCTTTCAAACTGTTTGTTATGGAGAGAAGCAATGTGCATGACCTGTGGGGGCGCCGTAGTGGATCACATAGTATATTGCAATATCCGAGTAACACGATCAATGAGCGGACTAAAGCGTGCTTCCCGCATAACACGAGATGAAATTTTTTGAAGTTGTGAGAATTTTATAATTTTTTTAAATTTTTAAATTTTATTATGTTTTATAAAATAGAAAATATTTGTTTCAAAAATAAAACTTCACGACGTTCATAAATTTTTAGCTTTAAATAATTCATTCTCACGTAATACAACCACATTTCCCCTGTTTATTTTTTAGGATGAGCTCAGCCAACAACCCAACAAGAATCTAATCTCCACTCTCCAAACACTCCTCACCCACGTTTTAAATTAGTTTTGTAAATTGAAATATTCATTTAATATTACTTCTTATTATAATGAAACAATTTTAGGGGAAAATATACGAAATTTAAAAAAAGGTTAAATTGTTTAAATATTTTTGGACAATAAATCGTTTAAATATTATTTAAAAAATTTGTGCTTATAATAACTCTATATATATACTTCCTTCCTTAAAAAAATATAAAATATTTTAAAAGAATTACTTATTTTTAAACTAACAGAGTGTGTATATTAATATAATTTTAAAAATTTTGAAAATAAAATAAGACTATCAACAAAGTAAATCTTATGAATAACTACATTCTTTTAAGTATTTTACTAAAAACAGATAAATAATTATTATACAAGATATATCAAAGACCTTAAAAAGGATAAGATTTAAATTTAAAAATGGATTATGATCTACGGACTTGAAAATCATTTTCTGTATCTTCTTAACCTTTGGCCAGCCGTTTCTATAATTTAAACGCCCCTGTCCAAGCCACCAGCCTCCCACACTGACCCTCGTCACTGTTAGGTAGAAAACTATAATCCAAGTGTAGTAACAGTGAAAATGAGAGTAAAATAGAAGAGATCAATGCATAAATTAGAGAAAGAAGCTAATCTAAGCACGGAGTGTCAGTATCATCACCGAAGAAATCCAATCTAAATTTTACTAAAACGGATTAACCTACCTCTAAACGAGTGGATTTTAATTACCTGAACAAAAATGCGATTCGGCTGCGAAACAGTCTTGAGCAAATAATCGGTGGCCCAACGAATGGCAGCCAAGGCGTTTCTGAGCTCACTGGGAGGCATGTTATCCCCAAATTCGATCACGCTCCACGCCAGCATCGTGGTGGTGAAGGCCATCGGAAAGCCGAACTTGATGTTGTCTCCGGCGTCGTAGTAGCCGCCTGTGAGGTCAAAATTGTAGGTCCACCCGTCACTGAGACCCGAGTTGCCCCGCCAGCTCATCCTCTGGTCCTGTGGCAGCACCCCCGAACGCTGGCCCTCGAAGAAGAGGATCGCCTTGGATAATGCGTCTTGGTAATCGTGCGCGGCTCTCAAATCGAAGAAACCGGCAATGAACAGGAGAAACAGAGGAAGAAGATGAGGACGCCTACGGGGAATTGAGAGGCTCATTCTGTGTTTGGGGAGTGATCCTGATTATTCTGCAGCGGCTTAAGTGCTATTTTTATAGCGTTAAGTTTGAGGGTGTTCACGGGCTTAGAATTGAAAGCGAAGTAGAGAGGGAGGGAGGGACTGGCATGTGATTTTGGAGGGAACGGACCCAAAAAAGGGCCAAAAAAAAAAAAAAACAGAGGGAAAGGCCGAAGCCGAATAGATCCCTCGGATCATGCTGTGCCCTTTTTTTTACCTCAATGTGATTGTGTGCAGTTAAAACAGAAAGAAAGGAGTAAGCACCGAGTCTCCGGGGTTTCATAATCTTTGTTGGTACTCCGGTTTCAGTGCTCATGCTGCTCATCACCGGATGAGCAATGAAAATCTGAACGTTTAGATTTTTTAATTTTTATTTTATATCTATTAAAAAATAAAACATAAAATTTTAATAAATTTATCTTATCATTAATCTGAATAGTATAAATTTAATATAAATAATTCAATTTAATATTAATTATTTTACAAATTTTTATAAATTAACTATTTAAATGTACTCAAGATCTATTCTGTTTAGAATATATTTAAATAATTAATGTGTAATTTTATTTAAAAAATTAATATTAAATTAGATTATCTAGATCAAATTTACATTGTTCAGATTATTGATAAAGTAGATTTATTAAAATTTAATAATTTTTATAATAAAAATAAAAAAACAAATAATAAATTTAGACTATTCATATTTTTCATCTAAACGATCTAAATGCTCATCAAGTGACGAGTATCAAAACCGGACTCCTAAAAATTAAATCAACCCAACTAATTACCTTATTTTTATTTAAATAATTTAAAATATAATAATATTTTCACATAAAAGGTGATGCATTGGATTTTTTTTTTAAAAAAAAAGGAGTGAATCAACCAGTAGATGAAATTTATTTCTCTCGAATCGCATGTATTTCTTTCATGCTATTCATAAATTATTTTTAATATGTTGTATTAAAATAAAAAAATTAAATTTTGTTAACTTTATATAAAAATTTAACAAGTGTTTAAATTTATTTTTCTTAAATATACATATTTTAAAAATAAATTATTCTAGTATTTGATGACTTTATTGATAGGCAATCTATAAATATTTTTGTAAGTGTTTTTGAGTTTGAAAATATGTTTTAACCCTAGTAAATTCTTGAAATTCAATTTACCTAAACTTTTTTTATATAAAAAAAAAGGTCAAATAGTGAATTTGGCCTAAATCAAAATAAATCCTTAATTTTAAAAAATGAAACATCCAGTAGTTTGCAAATGACATATAGCACTCCATGAGCACTCCACATTAACATGTGTAAAAGTACAAATATAGCTATGAATTATTTTTTAGGGAGCATTGGGTAGTCTCTACCATAAAAAATGAACCTTCCAACACCTTCTCATCAATTTTGATTAAACACTATTTATTTTCATACTTATGAGATTCACAACTTGTCAATCTCTTTAATTTTCTTGCATTTGTTATCAATCTTAGCTTGAGAAGAAGATATTAAAATAGTTCTTATTTGAAAACATTCATGAAGACAATACCAATAAAATAAAAGTTTGATTTTAATACGTGTGGGAGAAGCGTGATTCTAGATTAATTTATCAAGAATTTTTTTTTTACTTTGTTAGTGTCGTCTTTGTGAATGTCTTAAATAAGAATTCTTTGAATCTTTTTTTTTTCTCAAGCTGAGACTGAGAACGAAAGCAAGAAGTTTGGAGAAATTGACGTATAATGAGTCTTACAAATATAAAAATAAATGATATTTAGTCAAAATTGATGGGAAGGTGTCAAATGATCCATTTTTTATAATAAAAGCTACTTAGTGTTCTTTAAAAAATAATTTATAACTAAATTTACATCACCACGTATCATTTATAAGCTCCACATAACATTTATTTTTTAAAGTTGAGGATTTATTTTATTAAATTTGTACCTTTACTCAATAGAAAAGAAATTTTCAAATCATTGAATTGTTATAGATATAAGAATGAAATAAATACTCACTCTATCCTGACTGAATGAGTGCACACATACTTCCTCATATCAAATATAATCGCCAAATTTCTCATGGGATCTAAATTCATTTCTTTTCCCATCAATACACAAGATAACGATTAACAGAAGGGAACAAGATCTAATATGCATGCAAAGAAATGACTCGGAGGGAAAATGTGACCCTTTTAGGTCATTATAATCCATCAATCCACGTGTTGTTGGAGAGAACGATTTGAACTTTTTATAATTATAAAAATAAAAATTTTGTTTAATTGGAATGCATGTGGGAATGAGTAAATGGTCCAATTGAGGAAGAGGGATGGGAGCGAGGAGTAAACACGCCGACAGGTGAAGTTGAAGGGTGTCAGTGAGGCCACATGCTGAACGCAAAGGCATCGCGTGGGAGAGAGGTGGGGGAACGATGGGATGGGCTTCGATGCTCACCGCTGTGCTCATTACTGTATTATATTTTATAAAAATTAAATTTATAAAAATTATGAAATAATTTTAATAAATTATTTAATTTTTATGTGATTTATGTTTAATTTGAATGGTTCAATTTAATATTAAAAGTTTTATAATTGATGTATATTAATTATTCAATGTACTCTATGTTGTATGTGTGTCAAAAGTGTGTGTGTGTCAAAGTCCCACATTGACTAAAGGAAGAAATCTCCTAGTGTATATATACTAAGGAATGAAGTAGGCTAATAAAATGGGCTTGGAGGAGAAGTGGCCTCGCGCACATGAGACAGGCCAACTTAGGACAATCGCAATTGAAATCAGTACCGGGTTATTTTTACAAAAAATGGTTAAATAAATAATTATTTTTGCTTATCCGAAAAACCTCTGATTTAGCTGTTTTCAAGTTGAACTTGAGTGCGTTGGCAGTTTTCTGGAAATTGAATTCTGTGCGTTAATATTTTGCCTGCCAAACGTCTCCAGATTGAATGCTGAACGTTTTTGGATTAATGGACGTGCACGTTTTTGCTGTTTAAGGCGTGTAACTGAAGCATTAATCCATGAACGTTTGTTGTTTAATATGTGTATAACCGAAGCATTAACCGGTAATTATAACCCAACGTTTGTGTCTCATTCCTCAGCCTATAAATAGACATTAGTGCGGACAGAACAGAGAGCAAGCGTTCTCGTCCTCTCCTCTGATCTTCTGTTCGTCTGTTTTCGTTTGTAGTCTCCACTGTTCTGTTTCCTTGCTCCGCCGCAGGAAGTGCTCATTTAATCCTGGGGGACTGCCGGTCTTAAGGACAGTGTTCATCTGGACACGACTCGAGCAATTAGTGGCTCGCTGTTCGCCTCTGCATTTGGTGTTTACAACACTCTATACAGTCTAAATTAATAATAGATTACATCTGGACTATAAGGAGTACATCTAGATAGTCAATATATATAAATTATAAAAATATTAATATTAAATTGGGCCCTTCAAATTAAATCTAGATCAGATTAAAAATAAAAAATTATTTTATAATTTTTATTTTAATAAATTTAAAATAAAAATATATAATAGTACTTGAATTTGGATTATACAAATTAAAATCTGAATGATCTAAATTTTATTATAATGATAAATATCATGGTGCTGATTATTGTTATACGCACTGAAACCAATTTCAGGAAGGAAGGGAGCGCTATCAGGTGGGACCCTCTCAAACATCTTTATAACATTAATTAATCAATTATTATCAGTGTGTGACTCAGTATTAGTACTATGTACTTTAGTTGTTAGAAAATGGATGGGAATAAAATGATGGACATGAATGCTAATTATCATGAACCTTTCTTATACATGGTTAATCAGATATATAGGAGGAACATAGGATTGAGATGAAGTACTCAAGGAGGAAGTACTGAATTGATGAAGGTCACAGGTAATCTAGTTCAAATGAGAATTATTTAAATTTGATGAGTTCACAATTCCAGAAAATATGGTAATGAGCTTTTCTACAAAAATGATGACACCAAAATCAATGTACACCCAAATATTACACGGCATTGTAGAATGGAGACATGGTTCTCATTTTTAGACTAGGATTCTAGCAACCAATCGAGTCTTGTGTTTGTTTTTAATCTTTTTGGGCCACATCATTTGTGTTAGTATTTGTATATACTCGAAGCGGGAATATTGTGTTTCGTATTAAATCCATTACAGTTATGGCACCGTTTGTGTTCATTCATCAATAAACGACATGGAATCTCTCACATAATACAAACCTTAACCTGAAACAATCATGGTTAGGTTACAGTACAATCACGTTCACTCTTTTTTCTATTTATTTTCTAGGCGCGCATTTGCTTCATTTCTAAACTCCTACACGAGAAGGATAAGCATCTGGGACGCGTGATCAAATTAAATTATTGGTAAGAGAACATCAAAAAATGTTTTTGACCAACATTAAAAAATAAATTTAATTGTTAATGTGTATACATAAATATATAACATTTTTTACGGTTTATATCCAAACTTCATAATGTATTTTCTTATATAACACCATAATTTTTTAATAGTCAGAAGTGTCCAAGTAGGTTTCAGATGAAAATTAAAAAACACTCTAAAAATATAAGTTAATTAAAGGGGCAGTTGCCTTTTGAGCTGAACATTCGCTTAATGATAAGATGGCCCCATGTCGTTTCACTGACTAACATTCAAGCGGGCGCAGAGCTTTTAAATTATAATATAAATCATTTTTAAAAAACTTCACTTAATTTAAAATACAAATATTAAATAATATTTATATTTTTTTTAACTATACCTCTACTTCATTTATTATTTTTTTAAAAAATAATACATTAAAATTTTAATTATTATAATTAAAATTTTTATATAAATTATTTAATGATGATATAAATCAAAAGATATAGGTATTTTTAAAAATTTAAAATTTTAATTAATATTAATATTTTATAAATTATAAAATAATTAATTATAACTTATATCATAATATGAAGGGAGTATATTCTTCAACCAACGTGTATATTTCTTCAATTTTGGAGCTCTTTGTTGCTTTGCCAATCATTTTCACCAGCACGAAGCTTTTAAAGACCTAGAGATTATACTCTTTTTTTATTTTTTTAATAATA